CTATTGCTCCGAAAGCTACTCCAGCTTCTGGGAAAGGACTTTTGTTACTTTGTGTAAAACAGTGTTGGAAGTCAAATCCCAGAGACAGTTTCAGCTTTTAAAACCAGGACTTAGCTTCATATTAGCTGTTTTATCTTTTCCCTGTTCAATAGAAAAAGGGACTGAAGGTGCAGACCTCCTGCCAGCTGGTGTCCCTAAAGATACTGCCTGCATTCAGGCTTGTTTCTCTCCTAATCTGGGCAACAAATGCTCATGTATTTAATGCCAACCATTGAGAATTAAATTAGTCCACATATGATATTTTTCCTGGTGTAAATGATGCTTTTTTTTTTTTTTTTTTTGCAATGCTTGTCTGCCCTTCTGCCAGCCTTCTGAGTACACCATGTCCCACAGTGCCCACCTGGAGCCAAGGGTCACCAAACTGTCTCTGGTCCACCAGGCTCTGTCCAAGTAACCTGGGTAATAACTCTCAAGAAATAGTACATAGGGATATATGGCAAACTATAATTCAGTATCGCTTGCTTTTATTCTTCTTCTCTGCCTGCATTTTCAGAATCATCCAGGTGTGAAAATACATACCTACTCTTGGGGAGCTGTATCAAATTTTCATGTAAAGTCACAAATTTATTTTGCATCATTAGGAAGTTATACCTTACGCACTTTTAGAAAAGGGTCTGTACTTTTCAATCAAGGTGTTTATTTTTTAAAACAGGGAGTTTCAAACTTCTTTTTTTAAACAACAGGAGCATTTTTAGAAATGTGATTTCGGGAATATCTGCTGGCCTATTCATTGTCAAACAGGTCAAATCTCATACCATGTCTGATAGCTTAACATTCATATGAATAATTAATTAATTGCTACTACCACTAAAATGATATTATGAGAATATCTGCGGTATTCTAGCTTCCTTTCAATAAAACTGAGCTGCTGAAAATGAAAAGGATAAACTCAAATATCCAAAAATGGATATGTAGGATAGTTGTTAGGTTGACCTTTGGTTGAGCTACATTTCAGAACCTCAGAATACATTTCAGAAATTCACCAGCAAGTCACTTGAACTTAAAAGTAACTCGTCAAACACAAAGTTCAAACTTCAGCTGCATGAGGAGAAGCAGTCCAAGACAGAGACATTTGATATTTAAGTATGATAAAATAAACCTTTTCTAGAAGTGTAGAAAGTGTGGTATTAAACCAAGTGAGTTTAAAATATTCTATCACATGTACACAAGCATGGCAACAGGTCCCCTCAAAATAAAACACAAAGAATTGTTTCTCATTCCTATTTATGCAAAAGAGAGAAATCCTATTAACTTCAGATGAGCTAGGTCTCACTGCTAAGTGAAACCAGCGATTTCCAATTTGGGGACATACTGTATTCTGTCATGTTCACAGAGAGATTTTCTTCTGGATCGGCAGATGCATAGCACACAATTATTAAATTTATCTAGGGAAAGACTGGTAGATGGATGCAGATGATGGGAATTGTTCAGCACTTGCTTTTTGAAGGACTGCTTCAGGGAAATTAGTCGCAATCATTTATCATTTTCAGACTGCAGAATATTTCATTTTATAATAAGTGTAATGCAGTATAACCCAGGTGTTGCAATTTGCTCTCCTCTCAAAATCTACTGCAATTTTTAGAACCACTCCTTTTCAACCTGAAGGCATAACAAAATAAAATTGGAAGAGGAGAAGGGTTGCTATCTAGAAAGATAGATTCAAAGTGTTAACAGAACAAATTAACAAAGTAAGGTTAACTTCTCAAATCTCAATGAAAATGTAACCCATTCATATTCAAAGGTATTATTTTATTTAGAATAAGCCTTCCTTTTTTCCTGGATCAAGACCATACTGTTAGAAACTGGGAACATTAATCACAATAACTACTCATTCATAGTCAATAATAGATTCTATACTTTTAACAGAAAGGTATTGACTTTATTGAAGAACTCTGAGAAAGATGGAAAAATAAGTACGACAAAGATCATTGCTAAAATAAAGTTGATGGGTGAAATCCCTCCAGCACTCAGGTCAAAGGAGAGTTGCGTATTTTCATCACATAGGTTAAATATAAATGTTCGATTTTGTCGCATACAGCAGGTATAAAACCAGATCAACACTGCAGTTCCATATATTACTATGGCCTTGATTTACCTGAAACTGTTCCATTGATTTGTCCAAACTATAACTTGAAATTTTTACTCCATTTCACAAAATTAATAGACTTAACAGCAAATATCCTTTGATAATAGCTGTAAAATGAAAAGCGCTTAATGAAATTCTAGTCAATGTCTTTGTTGGCTAAGTTTTTCTAAGAACAAATTTTTGTAATTTGAATAATAACTAATAGAGGGACTATAAGTCAAATTTTGAAATGAGAGAAAACAAGTATTAATACTTTTTTTTATAGCTTTGCTTCATTTCCAATGTTATGGCATCTCAGGTAAGACTCCACTGAAATTCAGGTATATCTATTTATTCATTCTGTTCCAGTAAAAAAAACCAAAACATACTTGCACCATTTTAATAAGCTGAGTAAAGATGGGAACCGAGCTATAATTAACAACAAGTAAAGGTCCTATAAAGTTATTCTACAGCAACATGTATGTTTGAAGTAATGATATGCTCATGACAGCTGTATTTTCAATCTCAGATTAAACTAGGATTTAGAAGCCAGCATATCCTTGTGAATACCCTTACTTATACACAGTAAGAGCAGTAAGAGAAACTGCTAGATGGAAAGATAGCAAATAATGCTCTGTCACCCGCAGGGGTGGCAGCAACAATTGTGGATAACCAAAGATTAGAAGAGGTTAGAAAATATTAGCAGTTTGCAACTCTGGCATCTGCACCTTCCAACTTCTCTTCAGGCTCTCAGTTAGTAGCTTGATTTTCTGCCAGTGTCTGTTTGCCTGCCTCTCTCTCTCAGCCAGTAGAGTTTGTGGATGAGGGTGAAATGGTATTTTATCTTCCTGATTTCTGGTATGTGGGGGAAAGTACCATTAGTCCAGGGAACTGCTAGTGATAAATATTTTTTCTGGCTTAAACATTTGCTTCCTCCCTTTATTCATGCAGTTTACAAAATCCTTGCCTCCCATCTTTGCTGAGTAAAATCAAATGAAACTCAATTTGTAGCGTGGTTCACAGTCAGTTTTATCTAGATTGGTCTAACCAGCCATGCAAAGCTCTACAATTTCAAGAGAATAAAGGAAGTTTTATGCTATAAAGCCAATATGAATCATTTGCATCTTCCCCATATACTGCCTTCCGTGCACATTCTACGTAAAACGAGAGTCAGTTAATAAGTTAGCAGATTTTAACACAGCATAATTCAGACTAGTTGTGCATGGAAGTTGTCACCAGTTGTGCTTTGAAACTGTCAACAAAACCAAATGGCTTTTGTGTGCTCACGTGAGGCAGCACGTGAGGACTGCAGTGAGGAGATTGAACAGCCATGTGTTGTGTGCTGAACTTTAAATATCTGCCGTCTGTTTTTTATCACTAATATAGAACCCTATCAGCATAACTAATAACTTTTTTTTTGTATTTTAGCAAGTTGCTAAATATTCATGCTATAATGACTTGAAACAAGAATGCTCTTTGGCAAGCAAAGTAAAAGATGAAATCAGAACAGAGTGGGGAGAGAGGGAAGAAGAAGAAATAAGAAAAAATAGTCCAAGACACTAATTTGAATTTATTTTGCTAGGCAACATCCACAGATCATTTTTGTCAACAGAAAATTATACTGAATCAATTAACATGATTGTCAGGCAAAGCAGATCAAAGATCAGCCACTGCCATCATGATGCTATTTTGATGAACATGCTATTAAAGTGTAAAAAAGCCCACCCTACTGCTTTGTCTTTTTCTGCGCATTCATCCTTCTTATTTGGTTGGGAGTTTTTTCTTTTGTATTGTAGATATTCTCACAGTAAGTTCTCTAGTGTACTAAGAGCTGGAACGGACCAGACACCCTGAGAGATCATAGCTTTTAAAGACCTGTATTAAAATAATTGGAGGGGTACAAAACCGCTCCGTGTGTGGCACTGACATGCTTTGGTGATTTCACTTTCCACCCTTGACTGAGCCTTTTCCCGCATGATGCAATGTCAGCAATGCAAACCGTGGAAACCACTCTTGCCTTGCTCTTTATAAGCAAGTGGTAAGGCCCTCAAACACCAAACCAATAATGAAAAACATAATTAGATAGTAGAGAGAGGGAAGTAGCTCAATATAACCTTTACAGTTCTGCTGACCTGGGTCAACTTTGTGTTTGGGCATCAGTCCAAAGACCTATACATCTCATATTCATTTCTCTTTCTTTCTTTCCTTCCTTCCTTCTTTCCTTCCTCCTTCTTTTCCAATCTAGAACTTCTGCTCAAGCAGTCAAAGACTATGACAGGGAATACACTGGCCTCATATCACAAAACACCTCCCTATTCTGGTAGCCATTTTCTGTTCACCTCTAAACCAACAGCCCTGCAGCAGCTGCTTAATGCAAGGTGTCCATGCAGGGGAAGAATCTGGCTGAAGAAGAGCTATAATGGGACAGTAGATGTTTTATTGAACTAACATTATGGACCCTAAGTTGATTTTGAATATTTTCTGAGTGCGGCAATTTGTGTCAGACTGCACTCAATTTGGCAAAGTAATTGGAAGGCAGCTACATCTTATGAATCATTCAGAGTTTCAACTAGATAACTTTAGCTAACAGGGCACTTGAAGTTGCCCTTTATGAGTTCACATGGTTGCATTTTCTAATCTAGTATGCGCCTGTGGAAGAAACAGGTTTTAATGTGTTTGATTCACTCTTTGAAATGAACTGTACTGATAAATAATTTTATTTTGTGAAAATTGCTTCATTGCTCTGGTATTGACAAGCTGAAATCAGACACTCGAACACCAACTAAGTTCTCAGTAAAATGGTGTACTTAATAGAAAGGTGAGGCAAAAGGGAGAAAATACATCCCTCTGAGTGCAAAGGGATGAGGATGCTTACCAGCACAGTCACCACACGCAGAACCACTCCTCGCATGTTATTCTCCAGTTTTCTGTCTGTTAGTGACCCATTCAGACCAGTGATGGGATTCCAGCAGCCGAGCTGAAAGAGAAAACAGAAGTCGTTTCCTCATTGCCCATTAAACTTTGCCAGTGATTCCTCTTAGGCAGCTTTAAGCAGGAACATACGAAATAAACAGAACACCTTCTGGAATCAATGGGATGGAAAGTCAGGGAAGGGTTTGCACGCAGATTCATATTTAAATTGCAAATGAAGCAATTAGGGATATCAGTTTGTGCTTTTAAATACCAGTATGCAATGGACAACAGCATCCAGGGCATGGGTATAAATGCATCGCTTTAGAAGAGCTCAGGGAAGACTTCCATATTAATGAAAAACATTCAAAAAGTAGTATGGCTCTAACAATATTTCTACCTTACTTTCAGTGATACACTAATTGAAGAAATAATAAGTAACATAATTCTAGCATGCTGCCTGCTCCAGCCCGTCTTTCTTATTGGAACTCTGATGAAAGGAATTACACTAGTTTTAATTAAAGCTTGCACTACTCATTGATAATGAAACAGCAGTGATTTTTAGCCAGGTTAAAAATCATATTTAAAGGTGATTGAGGAAAAAACCATCGGATAGGCACATCACAGTAGTAAGAAAGGACTGCAACAGATGATGCAGAAAAAGGAATTCAGCTACAAGAGGCTTTGCATTGGTGCTGTCATATTTCTTGGTCTTCTAAGACAGAAGCTTTTTCTCAGGGATCTCTCTAGGACTGATTGCCTTTCAGTCTGAATTTAGTAGATACTGGCCCATAATTTAGCTTCTCTGAAAATATATCTTTCTTACATTCTTACATGGTGGTAGATGCTTATCTTGGGAATAAAGAAACAGACCAACCATGTACTCATTCCTTAGCACCACATACAAACATTGCTGCTTTCATTTTTGGAATTCATTGCCACATTCATCTGGCCTGTACAATTACCATCGTTAAATCCAAAATTCAACAGAAGGACAATGACTGCCTTCAGAGGACTCTGAAGCAGAGTCTTACTTATGGCATGTAAACTAATTGCTAATGTAAACCTGTTATACAATCAAAAAGTTAGGCACCTGCAATTACCAGTTCTTCTCTTAATTGCCTTCTCCGTGGACTGTGCATGAAATCTACAGAAAGATGCTCATCTTCTGACTTGCGTAACTTAAGCCCTTAAACCTATTTTTCATGTCCCTATTTAAAGGCACAAAAGATCTTGCTCTGACAAAGACAAGATCAACACCAGTAGGTCACCACTGCACCCAGTAGCCTCTACTAATACTGGTCTCTCAGAGAATTCAACCTTATAATCTGTGAGAAATATCAAGTGTAAAACATCTGAAACACTGCTGTATTTTAATGCACAGACACAGAAATGGTAAGGTGCCTAAACCAGCTGAGGAGGTCTGTGAAAGAAGGGGAGTACCTTTGCTGACCATGATTGGACACAAATTTACAGAAAGCATTATTCTCAGTCCTTTGTGGAAAAAGCATTTGTCTATGTGTTTCATACATCTTTCAAAGTGAGACACAAAACAAGGAACAAACTCTGAGTTACACCCATTTAACAATTTGAGAAGCAGACCATTTGAAGTATTGTTTTCTTATTTACACTCACTAGGCTATTTCAGAGCAACTTCTAAATTATTTCATTACAATATATTCACATAAATTCTTTGAACATGCCTCCTTAAGAGATGGGTGCCTCAAAAATTAAAAAACCCAAACCTTTCTGCGATGATACAGAGGTTAAGTTTGACTTGATGATCTTAAAGGTCTTTTCCAATATAAATGATTCTATAATTCTGTTTCCCAAAAGAAGTTGGTCTTAAACCAATGTAGTAACTTCTGTCTCCCATTTTCAGAACTGTCCTAATTCTTCATACTTTGATATTAAGGTTATACTATTGTCAGGGAATGAGCAAGAATAATGCTGAGCTTACTTTGTATCTCAAGTAATAACTAAACCAAGGTTCTACTGCATTCAGAACTCCAGCAGAAATCACTGGAAGTAGCAATAGGATACAAGGTGGAACTGAGGCACCATATTCATCTCTTGCAATGACTCATCTTTCCAATAGCTATTTCTGGATAAAAGGACTGTCCCTGCTTGGTTTCCTCACTTCATGTTCCTATCTGATCACAAAGACCAACCACAGATTATAGTAGCCACCTCTGCTTCTTCTATACCTCCATAGCGTGTGTAGCTGTTCACAGCAGTACAGATGAACTGCTGGCACATTCCAGGTCCTCATCACTCTTCTGGCAAAGCCCTCCAACTCTGAGCCGAATACCCTAATGGCTGAAGTGTGTTACCTGTAATAGTGCAGTCAAATGCAGTAAATGTATTTGAAGAGTGTGCGCTATACACCGTATACGATAAACCACTGCCATCCTATAAAGCAAAGCATTTGATGTCTACATTTTCTGGACTACAAATATTGAAAATGGCACTAAATTCAAAACAAAAGCATTAAATTAATTCAGCAATTGTCATTCTTAGCCACATAAAGAAACTAATTAGAACTTAGATCCAATTAGCATAACCAAATGTGTTGAAAGTATAATTACTGCAGAAACTGTACCACTTTTGCCAGATCTAAAACCCTAGCAAGTTACTGAAGAGCCTTTGTATCCTTTTGAGGTTAAAGTCCATTTTTAATTATGTGCGTTAATGTGTACATATTTATATAATTATTTTTTTTTAGACTGATTCATTCTACCTTTTTAGGGAAAAAATTCCCAGCGTAACTTATTCCTGGAAATTTAGCATAGCACTAATTTTCCTTTAAAAAGGCACATTTTATTTTCAATTATTGTTCATTTAATTTTCAAGTCAATTGTTCCTTTATGCAGCACAGTCATAGTGCAGACAAATGTGCAGTGCCTTGCTGATAAAGTTGAAATTGATTTTGAGTGGGAGCTGCTTACTGTTATTAGGTGAAAATGAATCAACATTTATTGATAACAATTTGAGCTTGTCATTTCAGCAAGGAGCAAATGTAAGTATTGCTGAAACAGCAAGGTGAGTGTGGTATGAAGTTACCTCTTCAGCTCTACCTCTCGCTTAACCGCTTCTGCAAAACATTTGTTGCTTCTGCATTTACTTAGGTTTTCTTTTGTTCTCTCTCTGACAGTTGAAATGAGAGAATAGATCAGGCAGTAACAGAGTCTCACGCTAATTCTGGTTGACTTGTGTAGAATAATAGGGGTGATGGGAACTCTCTATTGAGCACAATACTTGTCTTCATACCATATGAACTTTGTCACTTATAGCGCTTTGTACTTCAGGTGTAGTTTCTTTTAATTATTCTAATGACAGCATTGATTTTGCTACATTCAGTTATAAAATTATAAAGATGGAAAACTTGTCAACGTTCTGCTTCCTTTGATATATAATTTACAACACCCTGCTGATCAACCCACCTCCCAGTTTGCTGTCTTCTCTATCATCATTATTAGAAAGGGTTTCACTCTCCTGTTTCACTGGAAGAGACAAAGATTGACCTCAGCATTTATAAAATTTGCTAGGATACCAGTTTGTGCAAAACTATCTCTATGTTGTGCTGCTTGACTTTTGACTAGAGTATTCCTGATGCCTCTTGTTAGTTGTTGTTTAATAGATCCACCAGTGACTGGAAAAGCAGATACTAAATCTATAGATGAAAGACTGTGTGTCACAGAAGAAACAACAGAAAAGACATGTTTCAGTTGTTATTCTGATACTGTCAGTTATGAAAAATGTAGCTGGACGCTGTCATGTGGTTAAAGAGTCCTTTCAGTTCAGCTCCCTAGCCAGAACCCAACAGTTAGTCAACCAAATCTGCAAAAAGTCTGATTTAACCCCTCAGGGGTTAACTGAGGGCCTTTGCACTCTAAGGCTTGACTAAAGAAATAAGGATCAGTTTTGTTCTTCAAAGTAATTTCCTAACACAATTGGTTAGCAGGAAAGCTTTCTGTGTTTAACTTCTCCCTCCACTGGAGCTTAGGTAATAGTCAGCAAATAATAAGTTGTTAAAATCAATAGAAAATACTGTGTTCAACAAATTGGATAATGTATAGCAGCACTTGTTTCTCCTACATTCTGTGTGGTGAAACCTATATAGGTCTGTGCGTTCAGTTAATTATTTTGTACAGTATGTTTTATTACTTTAATTTGTCTCTGGAATAGAAGGAATGACCTGCCCCTGGACTCACTCTGTTATTTTCAAACTATGTTAGGAAAATGTGAATACCCAAGTTTAGTTTTATATCCAGTGGCTTAAGGATTAGAATTGCAGCAGTCAAGGAGATCTATTTGTTTTATTAACTGATCATAGACACAAGTGCAAGTGACCTACATAAGAATTTCTTTCCTCAAAGCCAAAGCACATGCTGCATAGAGAATACAGAATAATGCTGCATAGAGTTAATACAATGCTTTGGTTTGAGGACTGCCCAAAGTTCCTTTTCTTATTGAATTGAAGTAAAGAAGCTAATGGAAAGTTACCTGCTGGTAACCTGCTGTTTGTTTGCCTACCAGCTCTTGACTCAATATTTTCTCAAGGACTTATGCACCCAGATTGGTGCCAGAAGTGATAATTGGATGTTTTAGACCACTGACAAACGTTGAATATACGGAGAAAAAGCAGAGACTGCATAGCTGCTCTCACATTGTGCACTCCACTCATTAGGCTTGTGCTTAGGCCAAGCTTCTAGAGGAACTCTAATGGTATGATTTTTGGAAAGTATAGTAAATGACCACATCTCAAAGAAAATGAACCATCTCCCCAAGCCAGTGGTGTCATTCTAATGGTCCTTCACTTTTTCTCCCCCTTCATCTCTAGTTTACTTTCTGCATTACTATTTTCCCTTTCATTTGAAATTGGTGAATTTAATCTATCATTTCCCACGTCTAAGTGTCTTCTCTTTTATCTTTGGAAAACACCCTTTTTCCCTTCTCTAGTCCTCTCTGTGAATTCAGTACTCCCAGTGGTTTCCCAACCTGTGGTTATCTTGCTCTTTCTTATATTGCAATGCTTCTAGTCATTTCTCTGTCTACTCTCAGCAT